TACCACTAAACCAATACCTAAAAAAACCAGCATAAAGCCGTACAATTATGCAAGTCACGAGTTTCTCCCTGTTTGCATTGTTTGTAGTCCCATGGGAATTCCCATATTCCCATGGGACTCCCACGGGGGTTCTAGTCCCACCATGGGAATTCCCAGTAGCCCATGGGCATGCCCACGGGCATGCCCATGGTGGGACTCCCATGGGAAATGTCAAGGCCTACTCAGTATCCAATCAGTAAGCAACACTAATACACTTAGCCCACCGCAGACTATACCTAGAAAGGATTAGCCCCCATAAGGCTATCTACACAGTGTAGACTACACTGTGATAGTCTATTAATAGTATTACTGCTACCCTTAATTTTTAGAGCACTATATCTTATTAAGGAGATACGTAATAACAAAAGGGCATAGGACAGAGTAGAGAACCCTATCTATTTTATAATATTACTTCTATCTTTCTTCTAATTCAGAGCGGCTTAAGCTTAAGATCTTAGATATAAAATGTAACGGATAAAGATCCTTACAAAGAGAATACCATGTCAGGCAGTCTTGGCAGATCGACACCACGTCGTTGCCGATCCGAGAGGGGTTCATCACATGATATGCATGTCGACATTAGAAGAGATAGATCCCTTATAGTCTGGGATCCCCTAGGGTCCCAAAAAGGGACTGGCAAGAATTAGTCTTGGCACTCCAGACAATACATTGTGTTCTCCTCCAAGCCATAGTATCTTACCTGGTTGACAGGCCATACACCTGAAAACAGTATACCTTTACATAAAAGTAAACTATATAACAGTATTAGTATATAATAATCAATATATCTTCTATCTAAGCGCCTTTTACCTTATATATTAATCTAATATCGTATTCTTTTACTTTAAATATATTCCCTATCTCTAGGTTATACCTTACTTAATTATAGGCTGAAAAGACTTTTTTGCTAAGCGCGATAAACTTAGGCCTTGACAAGTGCAGCTGCACCTCGAGAAATTTGGTGCAATGGCCCGGTGCTGTGGGGTGCAGCGGTACCTTGAGAAATTTGGTGCAATTGCCCGGTGCAGCGAACGATGGTGCAGTTGCAC